AATTAAGCACACGAAAAACATAAATTCTTTTTCTAAAAGTACTACATACTAGTTCATTCATATACTATACTATACAATCTCCACGCTGCTAGGAAAGTACGCTTCTATTAACTTTGCAAAAGCATATCACAGAATGGTAAAATGGTTGGAACCATCCAGCTCCAACCCCTGTACCATGGGCAGGGCTGCCACCCACAAGACCAGGCTGTCCAGGGCTCCATCTAACCCAGCCCTGAGCACCTCCAGGGTTGCAGCACTCACACCTTATCTGAGCAGCCTGTCCAGTGCCCCACCACCCTCTGAGTAAGAAGTTCCACTTAAAATTTAACCTAAACCTCCCCTCTTTTAGTTTAAAACCATTCCTATCTTATATGCCTGTGTAAATAGACGGTCTACCTCTACAAAGATACAGCAAAGAGATTAGGGATGATGGATCTCCAGAAACGATTTTGAGAAGAATGGAATTTTGGATCAGCCAAAGGGAATAATTCAGTATGGTGCTTGCAGGGATACAGACAGACAGGGCTGAGGACAAACAGAGGCTGTCTGAGCTAGTAAAGCAGGACTGGCTCCAAAGAAGATACAAGTGTTAGAAGTGACAAATGGGCAAGAGGAAGAGGATGTGCTGAGAAAAACCTTGAAAGCAAGGCTAGAAATCTGAATGTAAATGTCCTGAAACAAAGGGAAGCCAGCTGAAGAAACTGAACCAGAAAGATAAGGACAACTTAGGCTTTATGTCATAAACAACAGTAATATCTGCAAAAAGACACCTCAAGACACCATCAGCTCTCTTCAACGCTCTATGAAGGCTGAGAAAGAAAAAGGATCCACTCAAGAAGTTGCTGCAGGATGCATGCGACGAAAAAAAAACAGGAAAGGCAAGTCAAGGAAAGCTTCAGGAGAGTTTTTGTTGTCAGTCCTCCCAGTCCGATATTCAGGAATGACAACAGAATACAGGTGATGGATGTTAGCCAGGAAAATGTCACAAAATGTCACAAGAACTACTTTGATGAAAAAATAGGCTAGAACAGAGGAGTATGTATAAAGGAATTGTAAAAGTACCGCATGCAAAGCCTGAGACACATTTAAGTGGTTAGAAAGTGAAGGAAAGACATTAGCTGGATTAACATTTACTACTTCTTTTTAATTAAAAAATAATCTTATTCAGTGCATTAGTAGAGCATACAAAATGCTGTGCAGCTCCCACCCATTCCTTCAGGGTCTGTCTGAGTTTGGCTCAGCTAAAGATGAAAGCTAAGTCCCAAAATTGTACCAGAGATTTAAACATCTTAATTAAAATAGATAACTAAAAATCTGTATACCCAACTTGAAACATGTTCAGTGTGCAAGCCTAAACAAAACTCAGCATTAAACATGTTTTTCCACATATTCCCTGTGAATATAACCAAAAATACCATCAGAGGGGAACAGGTCAAGGAGGATGAGGGATCCAGAGCATTTTACATGAAAGACAAAGTTGCAAAATATAATACAATTTAGCTGGATACCCATCAGCTGCTCTAATATATAGGCAGATTCCAAAGCTGAGCACCATTTTACGTAAGAGTTGCATGAAATATTGACGCATCATTGACATCTCTGAGGCCTGATTAAATTACAGCAGACTTTAATCAAGGAGAATACAGCATGACTGCCAAACACTGCCCTGCTGAAGTCAAAACCAAACATTTTTCCCATTCCAAAAATATAACTCCAGTTTGAAACATAATGAGTATATTACAAACTGAATGCAGGTTTGGCAAGCATAACTGTATGTTTCAAGCATATTTTGAGAGAGAAACACAAGAAGACATTAATTTCATTTTACACACTTGCACTATTCACATGTATTAAGTTGCCTTCATGCATTAACTGTAACTCTAGCCAATAAAGAACCTTCATCGCATAAATGTAAAATATTTATGCTTTGAAGAGTAAACTAAAATTAACCTTTATGATTCAGTCTAAAACTGTCTGATCTAAAAAAATAATAATATACAACAATTGTGCACACGTACACAAATCATTTCAGAATTTACTTGTCTTTCTTATCTCAGGAAACAGCTTACTGTTTTAAATATGTGTTAACAATTCAATATACTTCAACGTATGCAGAAACTTTAGCTAAAGAGTGGCTAGAGGCTGTCAGTTCCCTCCCACTGCCATTCTCATGCTCTGAAATTTGTTTTTCTTCTGCCTGAGAAAAAAACAAGTAAAAAAAAAAAAAAATCAAACCACTCTCCACAAAAACAGAACCATCACAATTCTGGGTTTAAGCAAGTGAGACCATGGACTTCTGCAAATCCAAATGTCTGCTTGTGTAAGCCCAGATCAGCCCTCCATATCTAAATAGGATGATTAAAATTTCTGTAGAGCCACAAAGGTTTTTTTCTTTTTTAATTCCAGCAGCCTAATTCTTTGTTGCTGTCTGCTCCTGAATGTCCTAATTACTAGGTTCTACAGCGAGAACTCCTTCACTCTTTCCCAGCTTTGAAGAAACTACATACAGTGGCATAAATCAAACGCGATAATGACAGTGAATCTTCCATTTTAGCAACTGGTGTATCAGGAAAGAACCTAGAGGAAATGAAATCTAACAGCAAACTTCTGCCCAAAATCCAATGATGGGCTTTTTTAATCTACTAAAGATCATTCCAATCAATTATTTAAAGCTTAGCCCTCAAGACAGAAAATGAGGGAGCTCTGGATTCTTTTCCTCAATATAAGGACATTCTTCATCTACAGTTCAGACATTCTGCCCATGACAACTCCAACACAGCAGAGGCAAACTGAGTTTCTCCTGCACAGGTACCATACCAGAACCACATTTCCTCCACTCCATGGCCCTCTCCTGCAGCTCAGGACACAGCCACACAGCACAGCTCACTGCTGCACTCCACTCCCTCATGACCCTACTATTAGGAGCAAATGCAGGTTCTGACAAAATGTCAGAAATCACAAAGGCTAAAAGTGAGGCCCTTGAGCCTTACCAGATCTAACAAGCTGAACAAGTGCAGTACGTTACCTCCCACTTTCTCCTCGAGGCCCACCTGAATCACGTCTCAGAAACACTTGTACTATGGCTGATCTAGGTGCTACTTTTGATGGATCGCAAGAAACATTACTCAGACAATCACAGTTCTCCATATATCTATCATTACTTAAAGCTTAAATAAAATCTAAAATTATTACTTTAAAAACAGTTTTTCCCAAATTTAAAGATCAAGAAGATGCAGACCAAACAACATTAACTGTTTTCACAGCAGTTTCAGGGCTAACCTACACTAGAGCCCCGCTAACTTTCCAAAACCAGTGGTCTTCAAGAATATTTCATCTAGGGTTTTTGAATGATTTATTCTTCCCCTGCCATCTCCTACACCAAAAAGCATATTTTATTCTAGTGCCACTGGTAACAGATATTGTGGGACTAGCAATGGAATTTTATTAAAATTGATGAAAATGGCAAACTATCTGCACCAGAAATTGTTGTCAATACCATTTTAACTTGAGATCCCCTACTAAGGAAACGGAAGCTTATGGTTGTGAAGACAAAGAATGGGACAAAAACAAAACAAAAAAGAAAAAAAAAACACCAAAAAACAAACAGAGCTCTGTTGCTAAAGTTGAAGAAAAAAATAACGTGAGAATTGTAAGGATGAAAGACCAAAGAACCACCTTCTGATCTGGGGAACGCCAGGGTCAGGAGCATCAGAGGGGTCTGGGAGTTCTTGTGTGTAGAGAAGAAGAGCAGGGAACGGTCCCTGCAAAGCATGTGGTGACTCTGGATGTTCGTGGTGGGTTTCAGGAGGTAAGCAAGCCCAGGAGGGCTGTAGAGAGCAAATCAGCAGCATAGTGAAAGCAGCACAAGTTTCCAAGCATCTGAGGACAGGAACCATGGAAGCAGATGCTACATGTGGTATGAGAAGCTGCAGGAGACATACCCCATATCCAACCCTATAATCCTCTTCACCCCTTGAAAGACTCTTCAAAATAACTATCTGTTCCTCCTCTTGCAGAAGATGCCATTTATCCACAGGCATTTTCACATCTGGAGACAGGACTCTTGTGGTAACAGGGCACAAGAATAGCCAAGGTGAGGCTGCACTGGAGATAAGAGCAGTGATATTTTGGCTCCTGGGAGAGGGAGGGAATATCTGCTGCAACTAGGGAAGGCTGCTCATCAGCAGCAGCCACGTGTTGACACCCATCACAGCTACCAACCAGAAACTCAAGCAGAGATAGGCTGTCCAGATACATGCCAGCTCTTCCAGTAAGACAGGTAGGAGGCACAGGGCAAGCAATGGGGTGGGTGTTTGTACCCAACCTCAAATACAAATCCCACCAGCCCGCAGCCTTAGGCAGCCTCCTGCTTGGGCTATGCCTAATCCCAGCTTGGTGGCAATGGAAGATCAGATCTGCAAGAGAGCTGAACAGGCTGCTGAGCTGGGCTGATGCTGAATCGCTATCAAGTTCTTGAAAGCAGTCAGCAAACATTCTTGTAGTTGTTTTGCCCGGTGCTCGACCGATGCCCTTCCTTCCCAATTGTGTTCTTTTGACGACAGTTCATCGGGAAGGTCGCTGCTGCAGTGCAACTTACCATTTAACAGTGAGAGCCTTCACTAAGATTGCAGCTACCTACAGATAACCAACCGCTACGTCCAAAAACTCCAGCAGAAGCCACCCTGACAGAACTTAGCACCGCACAGAAACGCACGGCCATCCGCAGGCTGCTCGCCCAAGGATGGCCGCGTAGTTCATCGCGCCGGGCGCCGCGCTGCCCAGGGCCGGGGCAGAGGCACGGGAAGGAAGGGAGAGCCGGGCAGGAAGGAGAGAAGAGAGACGGCGAACGAGGACCCCGACCCGCTGACAGCCGCACGCCCGGCACCGACACCGGCACCTTCGCCCATCGCGGCGCGCATCCCGGCGTGGAAAACTGATTACTCATGTCGCCGGCGGGAGAGGAGGGGGCCGAGCCCCGCGGCCCCCGGCCCCGCTCTTACCTGGGGGGCCGCGAAGGCGGCGGCGGGCGGCGGCGGGCCGCGGGGCCGCGTCTCCTCCTCCTCGGGGGAGTCGTCCAGGAGAACTTTGCTGCTCTTGTTGAGCTTCCACATGGCGGGCGCGGGGAGGCGGCTGTCGCCTCGCTGGCGGCGAGCGGGCCGAGGCCGGGCAGGGCGGCTGGGCTGGGCTCGGCTGGGCTGTCACCCCGCCGGGGGCTCCCGGGGCGGGAGGGAGGAGCGCTGCCTGCCGGGGCCGGGAGCCCGCCCCCCGCGCCCGCCTCGCCTCGCCTCTCCCGCCGGCCTGCGGCGGCCCCAGCCCGCGGGGCCCGAGCCGAGCTGCCGCCCCGGCCCCTTCGCCGCCCCGCCTGAGCGGAGCCGGGTGCCGAGCGCAGCGCAGCGCAGCGCGCCGCCCGCCCGGCACGGCTGCTGCGGCCGGGGCCGGGGCGACACCTCCCCGCCGCCCCTCCTCACCTGCCGCCGCTCCCCGCCGGAGCCGACCGCGGCCGCCGCGCCGCCGCTGCCATGTTTGCGGGGGCGGGGGAGCGGGCTTTCCCGTCACCGCGGCAACCGGCGCGGCGCCGGCCGGGCCCTGACAGCGCCCGCGGCTCCCGGTCCGGGGGAGCGTAGGGCCCCGTCCGGGCCCGCCGCCGCAGCGCCCCTCTCGCTGCTCCCGCCAAAGCCTCGGCTGCCCGGGAATGCCGCTGCCCTCGGAGCACGAGGCCGGCGTGTCCGACTAAGCCCCAGCCCCAGCAGCTCTGCTTGGTGCGTGTGACGCTGTTGGTGTTTCCTACAGTCCTCATTTCATTTTCGCACAGACGTGCTTGTCTGTAAAAATCCCTGCCCGAGCACTCATTTTTCCATCATTCTGAACTGTGAGCTAGGGTCAGGTGTCCAAAGAACCGCAAGAGTGCTTTAAAACGACATTTTCTTGTCTGCTGCTTCTCCAGCAGAAGTCTGTAATGCTCGTGGGCTCCTTATGCATCACGGAAAGACCTGCAAGTCTGCCTGTGGCTGCCTGAGCTTTTCATGGTACCATATGATCATCAAGGTCACAGAGACCACTAAGATGATCTAGTTCAACCATCATGCCTGTGAGCGCTCTAGACCATGCCCCAAAGAGGGGCGAAGTGGCAGCAATTGGGTAACAGCAGTGCACTCATACCTGCTGGGCTGGAACAGGGCTGGCCCTGGGAAGCACCGGCTGCACCGAGCTGGTTGCTCCACATGCTCTGCATGCTAAGGAGACTCACCTCCTCTTCATCCAGAAGCACCTGTAGAGCCAAAGGTCATAAGGCATTGAAAAAGGGTTGCTTCTTCCACCATAGGCATCCTTACCAGCCCTGTAACTTCAGAAGCGTCATCCTTGATCAGTGCACAAGTGAGCTTATGGTGCTGACAAAGGATTCCTGTAATGACTTAGGAATGCTGTAATGGTAACTCTAATTTATTACTTAACCACACAAAAGGCACATTCGCTTCCCTTGAACCTGAAGTCATAGAACTTACACCAGCACTGCTCTAGCCCTCTCTACTGAAAATGAACTTAGCAAAGCAATATTTGCGTTTGTAAAGCAAGTGCACAAATGTTGGAAGGGCTGGGAAAGCCAGGAAGTTTTACAGTGCATTTCTAAACAAAATCTTAATCTCATTTGCAGTCCCTAATTTTGCAAGATGTAAAGTTCTTAAAAGCAAAGCCCTGAATTCCATTGCCCATCTTGCATTAATATTAACCAAATCTGAAGGGGGAAGGAGACAAAACACTTTCCCAGTTATTAAAGACAGATCAGGTTTAGCATGAGTTTCCTCTAGAAGGCCAGTTCTTTATCTGCTCACTCCTTGTTCAAATTCATAAATGAAAATACCGAGAAGGCAGAGTGCAGTATTTCTAATTTACATTGACTTGTATTTGGGCAAGCTTAAGTAGTAAAAAAGCAATTCCTTTTATTTGAGTTCTGCATTTAGACTCTTAAAAAGATCACATAAGTTATCAGTCACCACATGACCCTAATATTTTAATCCATTGCCATCCATGTACTGTTTTTCTTATCCTTATCTGAAACATCAGCTCTACCATTAAGCTTAAATCCTCCAAATACTTACAACTGTGTGCTCAGTTTTGGGCTCATGAAGAAATCCACTCTGTGTTCCCAACAAAAGTATGCACACAAAACTAACTACGTGCCTTCTTGGGGGTCTTTCTTAGTTTTCACAACTTTTTGTGTTTGTTCTTGTTTTTAATTTCTGATGTTTCATGTTTCTGTTTTTGGTTGGGTTTTTTTTGTTTGTTTGTTTTTGTTTTCCCCTGGATAGCCTGGTCTAGTATTAGATATGGAGACTGGCGGCCCTGCCTGTGAGAGGGGGCTTGGAGCTTGATGATCCTTGAGCTCCCTTCCAACCCAAGCTATTCTATGGTTCTATGCTTCTATGCTTCTATGATTCTTTTAAACTCTTAGATGTTGGTGTGAAATTGTGGCTTTAATTGGGTCACTGAAAATAGGCCCAGTTGACTTTGAGAGAGCAATAGTCCAGATTTTCCTATTTATCTTTGAGACATCAAGGCAGAGTTGAGCACTAAAGAGGTCTTCTATCTTTTTTCTGCTGATCTGTTCTGCAGACGTCATGCTCACAAATTTATTATTTCCTTTTAAAGTAATTACACACATCTAATCAAATTTTCCAGAGTAAAAAGTTGACATCCACAGAACTGCAAAAAACAAAACAAAAAAAACAGTACACCAAGCCACTCAAATAGGAAGTTTCTTCCTCTAACCAGCTGCTTTGCCATGTTTTCTTAAGCTGTGTGGAGAGGAGGGCTCTGAAATCTTGTCTGAGAATCTTCTTGGATGGCATTTAACATGCTACAAACATCTTTATTGATGTAATTATGAGGAAGATTTGATTATTTTGCTTCTGAGCTCTGATCCCATGTTCCTTAAGGGAAACAAATAAAACAGGGAAAAAAAAAAAAAGTAAAAAAAAAAACCAACATGAGAGAAGTAATAGAAAATGCAACCTTTGTCTCTGACTCTCATAGAAGCCAGAGCTGTTTTGAAAGCAAAAGCCAGACAGCATGGCTTTAGCAGCTGGCAAAATATTATGCCACTGGAAATGTCATTTCTCTTGTGCTCTTTTTGTCCAGTCTCTCATCCGGTGGAGGACTGGGTGGAGTTGCTGACTGAACCAGACTCTCGGGAGACAGAAAGCAAAAATGAGAAAGGTAAGAAACAGGGAGGTGACCTGCCGTGTCATACCACAGTAACTGTTGGAGACTATTGCCATCAAGCTGAGTTTCACCATTTCCCAGTAATGTCAGGCATGCATCATGAGTCTCAGAAACATCCTTCTCCTCCAGCAGTGGCTCATACTTGGCTATTTTATGGCGAAAGCTGTCTTCACGGCTCTCTGCCAGTGCATAGCACAGGCTCTAGAGCATCCATATAACCTTTCCTGGATTCCTGTTTCACTTTAGCAGCAAGTGTTTTTTGCTTTCCAGAAAGTGGTTGTGCCAGAGTCCTAAGCTGGAGTTCATCTCATGAAATTTTTAACATCCAGATGTGTAATCTGATATTCTCAATTTCTAATCAATGTGGAGAAATCCTGTGTATTTTTGCAATTCTCACCTTACTTTTCTTAGCTGTTTACTGTAGGCATCAAACTATAACCACAGCAAAGCTTATAAAAGTGAGCATTGCCAGTGTTACGTGCTCAGAACTGTAGGTTCAGCAACCAGTGGGAACAGCTCAGGAATGGCAAGACTTACTTCATGTTTTCCCCCATACACTTTCTAGTGGCTCCCTAGCAATATTTTAAGCTAAAACACATGTAATATGTATGAGAGAATACATATTGTGATACAATACAGTTTTCTGGATGAATACAGTACAGTTCTGCAGGCCTTCGCAGTGTCCAATCTTACTGACATAAAATATTTATGTTGCACTCTCCTGTACACATATTAATCATGCAAAAACTGTTCCAAAGCAGATTGCCGATGATTGCATTTTTAATTTTTTGGAACTGAAGTGCAATTCCTAATTAAAGCAAATTGTAAAATACATGCCAGAAAACCACCTAAAACAGTCTAGTTTTATTTTTACACTCTTAGATGTCTATTTTAAGCCTTTTCATTTTGAAAGGGAGGTCCAACCCTACAAGGGGCGAGAAGAAGTCTTCATTTTCTAGCCAAACTCAGTTCTTATTGATAGAAATAAGGCTTGGAAAGAAAGCCAATTCAATTTAAAATACTGACATGTAAACGAAAGCTGTTTCTGGCTTGGCATATTACTTATTCAGTCTGGCCCTTTGTCCAAAGAAAATGTGTGAGGGAAAAAAGTAAACGCTTCTGAAAAATCCACTTATTAAAAAAAAAAGATTGACAGCTAGTTGAAATACCAAAAGTTTTACAGGAAGCAGATCCAGTGCGTGGAAATGCGTACTAAATTAATTTATACTCTTTCATTGCAATTTATTATAGAGATTTTGTGTCCCCAGGGGTGGGATAGCAAAACCAGAAGACTAGAATTGATGGCAAAGATTGTTAGACATGGAAACACATTCTTATGAAGACAGATCAATACTATACTTCAGAATGGAAACAAATAAGAGGAAAGTGAATAAATGCATGCAGAAAAATACTGAAAAGGTACTGAAATAGAATTGCCTTTTCTCACCAGAAATAAACAAGCAAACATTCATTTAATCAAAAGGTAACACATTTGTAACTGACAAAAGGAACCATATTTTTCAATTGTGTAAATGCACATTTCCAAAGAACGTCATTCCTTCCAGAAACAGGAAGTTTGTGAGGATAACAAGAACATCAGGTAACACAAGTAGAAACCAAAATATCTAACACAATGTATAAACTTCGTGTTTCAGGGAATATGCTGTTTTTAAGAAGCTAAATGATAATAAGAGAGTTTTCGTATGAGAGTATACTCCATTATTTTCTACTGCAGGATTTCCTGCTGTACTGTAAATCAAATTGACATTAACCTCTATTGGGCTATTGGAAATAAGCTATTAGCATATAGACTGATTAAGTATATGAGTGCCTGACCTCACCATTATTATTTCCAAAAGGTTTTCCTAAGCACAAAAGAGATAGCATATAATAACTTGAAATAGTTCTGTTCTCTGCAATACGTGCATTGGATAGAAAGTACACTCAGAGGACTGCAAGTGCTAAAATTTCATTGTCTACAGGAAACAAATGTCATAACCTTAAAAGGGCGCATTTCATCATTTTTAAGGTATTGTATTTTTATATTGTTTCATTCAGAAAGAGTTTTCCAAAAAATCTAGTTCATTTACAGTTTTGAATTATCAAAAGCTGTTGAGAATGGAAAGTTATAAGACTAACTCTCAAATACTGAATCCACAGAGTGCAGTACTTATAAAAGATAATATCCAGACTCACACCAGAATAGCAAAAATAATCAGGCATCATCATCCTCTAAATGACTCGGATAAGTTTGCAGTAGAATTAGTAGAGTTAAAGAAATTTCCCCAGCACATTATTTAGTTGACAGTAAGACTTTGGTTGCAAAGTTAAGCCTGTTGTACCTGATATATCATAGAGTAGATATACCAGCAATCTAAACAGGCAAGGCACTCTGACAAATAGACCTTCCCACCATTATCTGACAAAACAAGGCATACTATGGTAAAAAGGGGCTCTGATTTGCCTATGGTTGGTAAACACGGCTGTTTACCAACACAGCTGCTTTGGCCATAATTGACATTCCCACATTACGGGGCTAGGGTAAGATCCAGAATCATGGAATTACAGAATCATTCAGGTTGGAATGAATATGTTAAGGTCACTGAGTTGAGCCACTGACCTGACTACCAAATCCAATACTAAACCATGTCACTTAGTATCCACATGTCTCTTAAATATTTCCATGCATGGTGATTCCACCACCTCCCTGGGCAACACTTTGAGTGCCACAAACAAAGGGATGATCCCTTCACTGATTCTGCTGGCCACACCATTTCTGATGCAGGCCAGTATTCCACTGGCCTTCTCAGCCACCTGGGCATGCTGTTTTCTTTGGAGAACTAACTTTTTGCTACACTGTTGGTCCAAATCAGAGGCATAAGACTTCTGATGAATGTAGAGCTCACCTCTACATTTTCTTGTTTGGAACCCTGTGAGAGCAGTTCTCAAAAAATATCTGAAAAGACAGACAGAACAAAAGTGATTGGCAAAGAATAAGAAACATTGCAGTTCAACATTTCTTGTGCCAATTGACATCAGCAGTGGATAACAAAGAAAGCTACTCTTTGTAAAGGAAGAATCTCAAGGTACCTGCATATGACTCTCCTGGGGCCAATTATTCTGCAAATATTTCTCAGTGATGCAGTGAGCATATAAGTTTTCACTAGACCATGCAGGAAGGAGCTAAAATTTTTTAATTAAGTCCTGCTTAAATTCTGTTAGCTGTCATTCTGCCTTTTAGAGCCAGGTGCTAGCCCAACCGTAACCAAACCTTCAAACCATCTAAGCAGAGAAAGGGCTAGGGGAAAAAAAGAAGTGTGAGAATAAAAAGCTATTCCAGGGGACAAGAAAGGTTACAGACTCAAAAAAGAGACAGGGCAGCAGAGCAAAGCACCTCTCACCATCCATCATTCCTGGAATGTGCTTGGGCAAGCAATGGGTGCTGCTCACAAGATCTCTCCCAGTTGACACGAGAAGCAAGTGATAGAACTGGCAGGGTACCCTCGACTGTGCTTGTTTCTCCTGATGTCTTGAATGGCCACTTTGGAGAGGAGGCTGATGAATAGTCCTGTGCTTACTGTTCCTTGTATTACAAATATCTCAGGTAATCATTAATGAAAACGTGGTTGAAGAGTGTGTATTCTTTAATCTAGGAGGGACTGAAATGCTGTTGTGCATCAAGAAGGCCTGCTTTTTTTCTGTCAAATGTGATTTAATGAAGAATTTTATTTACTTTTAATTTCTATTCTTTCCTGACATTTAAAATGTTCCTTATTTGCTGTAGTAATAATGGGCTTCTGATGTGAGAAAATAAATTACATGCTTCCTTTATAGAGCAGCTTCAGTGCAATGATCTGAAAGTATTCACATATGTTAGTGAATTAATCCTGATAGTGTACTTCTCAAATGACATCTTCATAACTGGAAACTGCATCTTATCTTTTTTGCTTCTTTTACATAGTTTACTATTACTGGAATCAAACAACAAATCATGATTAATAATAAAGTTCTATATATGCTGGAAGGCAAAATACACAGATTTTTTTCAGCAAGCTTTGTCAAATCATTTACAAAACAAACATAAATTTCCTGACTTCACATTCTTGCTGTTTATTTACTAACCTATTTTATTTTTCAATACTGATCTACACTTGCAAGTATTGTTTCCAAACTGTCAATAAGTAGTCATGGATTGTCTGTCCAATCCGTAAATACATTTATTTCAGTGACTGAAAACACAAATTATTCCCACAGTGCAACCTCCTACAGTCACAGAAGCTTTCATGCAACCTACAGCAGAGGAGGAGCATGACGTTGTCTCATTTATGTTTATCCTAACAGCCTCCCTGTTCCGCAATGTCCTGTTCCTTTGAAGCAATTGTCCCCTTGGATCAGTGTGATTCAAAACCTTCATATTTGAGAAATCCTTACTTTCTCCAGCCCTAGCCCAGATTACAGGCAGGCAGACACTGTGGGCATTGCCTCTCATAAATTGAGAAGGCACTTAAATACTGTGCTTTTGTCTGGAAGGAAAGATAGAGCATGAATCTCCTCAATCTGGAGAATAGGGAATGTGCAAGGCTGTTTATGGCGCATCTGTAGGAAAAACACATTTATGAGCAAAATAGAATAGATGCAAACCCAGGGAATTAGAAGCTATATTGCTGAAAGATGAGCATCTTTCCTGAACAGTAAAGCGATACTTACATTAGGAGGACAGAAGTCCATCTGCCCCAGCATCCTGTCTCTGACAATTGTGTTTATGAAAATAAACAAGGCACAGAGCAAGTTCAAGGTGATACTTCCCCTGGCATATCCTGCCAGCATCAACTTCCTATGCTAGTGGCCATACCAGCATCTTTAGTTTTAATAAAATCTGCTTTTGTTGTTGTATTTGACTTCATACAGCAGTGTATAAGAAATTTTTTGTTTGTTCGCTTTTGATTTGTTTTTTTTTTTTTTAATTAATGGGGAAAAAAAAAACCACAAAAATT